CTATTAGGTGTTTAAACTTAGTAGCTAAATAGATTATACTATGGCATTTGAAGCAAATGGCATTGAGACCGTGTCCCGGAGTGAACATCCAGCTGATGAGTTCCAGATAGGAAGAAACGTGTGTTTTGCATTCCACTGCTATTCATCAACCATCTCTGCATAAGACCCTTCTTTATATTCGAAAAAGTCCATATGCAGCTCTGTGTAACCGCATTTGTTTGAAATAATAGCGTTGTGAAAGGTAGAATTAAAGCATTTATATTATTCCATCATATTTTCTCCAACATGAATCAAACTCATCTTTTACACTGGAAACGATGGGGAATCCAGTCAACAATCTTTGTCTTTCTGTATTGAAAATAAATTTATATTATCTTCAAATAACCTATGGATAAGAAAAAAATTAAACAATTGTGATCATTTTCAATCTTTTCCTCGCTTGACTATTTGATATATCTTCTTTGCTACTTTTGTACTTAACCTTTGCATATTCATAAACATACGTCGCCTTTTGACATTGAGGAACTTTCCATGGCTATTTTCCTGCGTTTTCAATACCGAAATGTCAAACTATTTAATCATGTTATTCTCATTTAATTGTTACTACTACTACTACTACTACTACTTCTGTAGTGAACGAAGACTCTGGTACGTTAAACCGATTTAGCGTTTACTGAAAAATTACACAGTACTTTCATAATATTTGAGTATCCTACATTGAGTGCACTATTTGTACATCTTCATTAGGTTGTTATTTACATACTTCATGATTCTTTTAATTCTGTTGTTATTTCAAATACTCACTGTTTCCCTTTCTTTTCTATTCAGTTCCATTTTACGGTGGTAGACATTCTACATCTGATTACTGATACGTACTACTTATCCTCTGTTTCCTAAAGATATATTTAGTTGGAACTTGGATATTCTTTTGGATGGTTAACTTGGACTAACAAGTGTGAGACATAATATGAATTTTGAACAAAGATGGTTAGTGGCTAGCAGTGGAATCCAGGACGGGCATTTCGTCCTATTTAGAACTCGTCAGCTGGATGTACCTGCATCGCAAAGTCGATGTTCACTCTGAGACTCGAAAGCAGTACCGTTTGCTTCAAACGCCACTGCGTTATCCCCATAGCTACTGAGTTCTGATAGCCACCTGGTTGTGCGAAGCTTGTGACTGAAGACTATATCGAGGCAATCCACACAGGATGCACATATACCAACATGAGACTGATAAATTGCAGTCCTGAATAACGATGGGAAGATACAAGTAAAACAACAAGTGAATTTATAATATAAATTTATCTAAAAGAATAGCCTTTGTCAGTGTGTCTATGTTCTAATATAGTGGGAATTGTTAGGCACATACAGTTTTAATAATAAGAATAACTTGGTAGATGGTCAACAATAATTGACTTGTAATCTATTCTCTCTCTTTTTTTTAACCATTATAAAACAAGTTAGTTATTTCATCACTGTCTATAATACTGAACATGTAAAACACTCTGTCCATCAATTTCTGTCCTTACATGTTATGCATCAACAAATTTTCTCAGTGTTTATTACATCATTAGATTAGGTTACTATTACCAAACTGATGCCAAGTCTATCCAGTCAACCAATGGTGCAGGTTCTGTTTTATAGATTCTACTGAATTTTCTCTTATCCTCCATTCATTCGTTTTTTTCTTTTTACCCACGCGTATTTGAAAATTAGGTAACAAAGTTAGACTGGCAGCCTATATATATATATATATATATATATATATATATATATATATATATATATATAGAAATCATTGATTATCCTAAAACTGTTCACTAGACTCCTTTACCCTTAAAATTTCATCCCCCTAGTACCCTATACATATACATTAACAAGTTTATTCTAACTTGTTTGTTTTTGTGTTACTAAATGAATGATAAGTGAAATTTTCAATGTTTCTTTTAACACAATCAGCCTGTATTTTTTTTCTTCACTCTTTCTTTTTCGCAAACATTGTTCAAGGTCAAAACCATTAGTCACATGATGGTTACAATGGCAATAAATTGAATACATGTACATGTATGCCATAATAATAAAAAATAAGAAATGAGTAGCTGATTGTCATAAGAAATCATTGTTAAATAACACTGATACATATCCTATCATAAATCAGGGTTCCTATCAGAGGATATATTTCTTTGAAAAAGTTTGGACCAGATTACCAGGCAAAACGATAGATTTGCTTCAAATTCATTTGCTGAGATTTTACAAATATATTCTTCCTCCTTAATGTCCCACATCAGCTAGACGCCCAATTACTGTGAAACTATTCAATCAAATTTAGACGAAAGTTCTTATATATTTGTATCTATACTGCCTTGTAAACTTGGTTATCTAATAACTACTTCAGAGAACAATGTATTTTTTTCATCTGCTATGCTAAATATTCATTATTCATAACAATTTGTAATTTGATAATTGAGCTCACGAGCCAGTTAAAGTTAGACCACCATGGAAAACCTGGAGGCGTGGGCCGGTCGTTTCGTCCTAGTATGGGACTCCTCAGTAATTTACCTAACATGATAATATCTTTTTCTTTGATAGTTCGTATCCACTTGTACAGTCATCATTTATCTAAATGAATTGGTTATATTTTCTTAAGTATTTACAACCGTTCAGTATATATCAATACTGACAGAAATTCAACTTAAGATCATATGAATATTATTAAAATGTTTCAAGTTTTATAACAGTTAATAAGACAATGAGTTGCTTGTATGTTGAAGTCAAATGAATTTGATAGTAATAATTTTGTTCTTTGTCATCATCTTCTTTCGAATCTAAGCGAACTTCATTATGTTATTTTTTGCTAGATTATCAAATATGAAGGGCAGACTCAGTATATTAAGCTAAAAATGACCTTTACATTTTCAAGCTACTTATTATTCTGTCAGTAACATACTAATTACGAGCAACCGAGAATTTATCGTGTTACAAAACTAAAGAAACTTGAATACTATATTAGCCTTATACAGATTAAGACTTTTCTAAAGACATACAGTTAGAGTATTAAAAATACAAAAATGCATTCATTCAGGAGTAGATAACTTTATATCTTAAATTTATAAACGACTTTTTATATTATTCCCAAGATCTATTGAAGTCACCTGCAAATTGATCTACTTGTGAAACAAGAAATCAATAATGTTTATTCAACAATATACATATCGATTATCCATATTCGCGAATTATCATAACAAATCAAGTAGATTTCCAGAAGTACACATATTCTCCTCACTTAGCATTATATTTTTAGAATGAAGACTGGGAGGATGGGTGAACGACTGGCATTTTCATCATGAATCAACATCGTCTAGAATGCATGATGAATGAGTGAATTTCACTTTCATGGGTCACATCTCCTTATCCCTATTAATCAATTTTTTATCATGAATACTAGCAGAAGTTACGTTTTTGACTTCTAAGTGAAAATGATTTTTAAAAATAGTCGGACTGACCTTGACTGTCATGAAATAGTGAAGTACTTTTGGCACTGATAGATATTCCCTATTATATTGGGTTTATTTTAAATTTCATCATGATTTATTTCTCTTCGTTACATATCTAAAAGAAAAGTTCATTTTCGCTTAATATAATAAAATTGTTATTATTATTTGAACACAAAAATACTAGTACACGGGGGCATCAGATACATTTGCGCAACACAAATCTCATTTGATTTATGTGAGGGCTGTGATACTGATCGGTTGCCCAAACCGAAGCAGGTGGTTTTCTTGAGGGGCCACATCCGGAGCCTTCGGCCCGAAGGTTTGATCCACAAGGCGTTGGAACATCGTAAGGAGATGCAGTCACATGGTTGCCGGTGTCCAACGATTGGTTCGTGCGTTATTTGTTCCCTCTGGGTACCGGGACTAATGTGCACCATTGGTTTGGAGTCAAGGTTTTCCAACTCCCCTAGGTGGACTCTCCGTGTCCACCAACCCGGTTAAAGCGCCGGACATTCGCTTTTCATCCTCTCATTTTCGTACACAACACCCCCGCCACGAGAAGGCAATGAGTAGGACTTCCCTGTCAGAGGCTATATACGCGTAACCATGTGAGAGCATTTGGAGAGGGAGAGCGGACTCCCCATACTCTCGGCTGTACCAGGGCATTTGAGGGCATATATATAATGAAATGTGGTGAAATTAATTAGTAATAAGAACTGAGGCATATTATAATCGGAAGTAAATAGGCCGAGTGTAACGTAAAATCTTGTTTTCTCTTAGCTTGGGTAGATTCTAAATTGTTGCCCAAATATAACACTATGGGTTAAGAAGTAATGTGATAGTGTCTTTGGTTTATAAGTCACAGGGACGATATAATTGAGATCTCAGTTTCTTCAAGGTTGTCAGTACTCTTTGTTATGAGATGGTGGAGAAGATTTGTAGCTCAGGTGGATGATTTTGGTGGAGTTTTGTTCTCTGAACTGGATGGTTTGGTCGTGGTCGTACTCTTTGTTAATAAGTACGAAACTTTTCAAAATAACAATGCTGAATAGTTGACTGAATTTGTAATATCGGTACAAGTGAATACTTACTACCCTAAAGTTGACCTAAGTTCATTAGAATTCTCCATCTTGTATTTATCAAATGTTAGGTTTGTAGTATTTTCATATTGTCTCGATTATAATTTACTATTGACCAAAAAGAAACTGATTGGTTTTATTGACATAAAGTATATTCCTGATTAATGAACTTTATAGTTTAACGATCCTATTTATATGCGTATAAGAATTTGAGTTCTTATCAGGTTTTCCTCAAGGAATGATATCAACCGAAGAACTATCTCAAAGTCAAGAGTATTGCGTCATCCTAGTATGGGGATCAATAAACCCGTCAAGAATTACATACATGATTTGTACCAATCGATTAAGTGGTAATGTTATCGACTTTCTTTTATATTTTTTCCTATCACAATATTAACTGATTTTTCATTTTTTTTTGTTCTTATAGCATCTACAATAATAATGATAATTATTATCTAAGTATATTTCGTTTGCATGGAGTCCTAAATGGCTTGAAATTCAACTATTAATTATTTAATAGCTCTACCCAACTCCACTTTCAACTTCTATTATTGAAGTTATCTTATCTTTTATTCATCAACCCAGTTATTACTAATCAAATTAATTGAATTCATCTGTTATACAAGAATGCCAATAATGATGATGATGACGATGAAATATATTATCTGGAACAGTGTCCTATATTAATCTAATCCCTATATCCAAAACCTAACCCCCCACCTCACCCCACCCCCATTCTTGATCTTTGGTAAATAATCACTGTCAAATGTATTTGTGTGTGTGTGTGTATAATATGTGAGTCTATATTGAGAGAGAGAGAAAAAGTTTGAAAATGACAAGGGAAGTAACTAATGTTTCAAACCATCCTGATTATATATATACATACATATATATTAACTTTCGAATTTCTCTTTACAAACTTATTGTTGTTCTTAATTATTTGTTAATTATTGTCAACTTAATTTTATTGCTTTAAGAAATAATATGCACATAGTGATTTTTTTTTAAAAAAAAACTTGAATAAAACTTCTCAATAAACCTAAAAAACAATCAGTATCTTTTTGAAAGTAACCATGGCAACAAAACAAATTTCTTTTTCGTCAGTTAACCAACTAACTAATTATTATTATTACTACTACCAATCTCGAAGAGATAGTATCCATATATATATACATATACATAAGTATATGTTTCAATGTACATGTATAGAAACAAGAAAATCATTGTATTTGATTAGAAAGAACACAAAATTAATTTTATTGATCAGGTTTGGTTTGAACGTTTCGTTAAGCAATAATGTATTGCTTGAAATATTCTTTTCTATTTACGGAGAAACAAACAAAAAAGAAGAGATGATTTCCATTGTTCAAAACTTATTCAACAAATAAGTCTGTTTGAATGATTAATTATAATAATAATAAACACTGTAGAATCTATCACTGAGCTCAATACAAAATAAAGAATCTATTGAGATTTTTGTTAAATTCTTTCTTATTATTGAGCAGATGTATGCACACACACACACACACACACACACCTAAACTAATTACATCTCACTATAAGCTTTCTTTATGTAAAAAAAGCCAATAGGTGAGAATATGAAATTTTTATTGGTGATGATGAAAATGACAATGATGAACCACTTCCTCATCATCTGATCACGTTGAATCTTTTGTATTTGTTGTCTTGCCTTACCAATAATTTTGTATTCATCCCACCCCAATTTTCCGTTTGTGTTTTTTTATCCTCACAAACTTGCCTTGTCTTTTAAATCTAGAAAAAAAATATATTTATCATATCTTTGTTGCTAAATAAAATGCTTTTACACAGTACACATTGTTATTATTATTATTATTATCGCCAATGCTACCATCATGTGGAGAATCCCAACAACGGAAGATTCTGTTAAATGTTCAAAAGCTTTAGTTAGATATTTTTGTTATAAATCACTATGGAAACCGATATTCCTTGTCAACTGTAGAATTTCGTTTCAGAATGAATTGAAAAACAGAATTACTATAATTACTATTATTATGTGTTTTGAAATAAACGAGAGAAGAACAAAACAGAACAATACAATATTCAATCTCTTACAATGTTTATTTAGAATCTGTTTTGTTTTTCTGTTGTCCTTTATTTATATTACAATTTCTTTTGGAGCTTTTTTTGTTTGTATTGTAACCTCAGAGATATCTAACGACTGCTAATCCGACCATTATCTGTTGATGTTTATATCATATCCAAAAAATAAACAATATGGCTCTCTCTCTCTATATATATAGATATGTCTGTTTATCAACGTGTAATTTATGAAATGAGCACTATCAAGTGTCTAGATATTATTAGTGTTGTATACATGTGCCTATTTGTATAACTGTCTCTCTCTCTCTCTCTCTCTCTGTCCCCACTTACCCTGGCTGTCTATTAATATGTATAAATATGGAAACTAAAGTGGCATTTTTGTGAATTTTAATTAAGTTCATATTACTTATGTCAATTATTTGTCTTCCTACCAATGGACCTCATTGTTATGTTACCAGTAATAAATCAATCTGGGAGGAAATTTGAAAGAAAAATAAACTGATTTGTTCCACACTTACACAAATACACACACATACAAACCAGGAAATATATATGTATGCTTACAGATTCATATAATATACAAGTCAAGATTGAATAAATGGATGAATCAATGAACTCAAATGATGTAATCTCCTCCCATATATATTTCATTTGCATATTTGCTTACAATATTATTATTTATACTTAAAATTCTTTTCATTTTGAGAAATATTTTCTTGTTACCATTATTTTCTATAATACTCTGTTTTTTATTATTATTATTATTTCAAAGTATATTGTATACGATTAAAATAATGAAGCAAAACGCAGTCATCATCATCATCATCATCATCATGATCATCACCATAGTGACTAGTAATACAACCCTTGGATAAATTGTTGATCATAATGATGACACAGCGGCAATGACATAAATTCAACTCAAATAAATAAACAAATATGAATATCCCTCCTATTTGTGATTCAATTAGTCATGTGAATTTTGATTGTTCACAATTGTTACTATTACTATTATTATTATTATTATTGTTACCATTAAAATATTATTTTCCATTTTAGATTATGATAAGAGAATAATGCTGTTAAATAAAACAAACTGATCATTTGATCTGATTGTCATTAATATTTGTAAAGGTTATCCCTTTCCCATTAGTTTAATATTGAGGATTGATTTCGATTAGTTTCTGTTGTTGATTAATGGGCTGGTTGAAGGGTCATCTGATTATTATTATTGTTATCATCAATTTTATTACTAATAGTTACAAATTTGGTTAGAGTATACAATAGAGATGAGCTTGAAACAACTGCTTATTTATTGAATTGTTCTGTAGAATAATCTACCTGTAAAACGAGAAATCAACATTATATATATTCAACAATATACATATCGATTATCCATATTCTCGAATTATCATAACAAATCAAGCAGATTTCCAGAAGTACATATGCTCTCCTCACTTAGCATTTTATATTTAGAATGAAGACTGGGAGGATGGGTGAACGATTGGTACTTTCATCATGAATCAACATCGTCTAGAATGCATGATGAATGAGTGAATTTCACACAGGTATACAAGAGGTGTGATCAGAATTGTTCATTCATAAGAGATACTGTGATTGAGTTAAGCATGGTTTCGGAATGAAGAGTTTGTTGTTGTAAATAATGGATTGTGTTGATTCACCTATCATGCACAATTTGAAGAGAGATAACTGATCGTTTGATAAGATTGACAGTATGAATTTTATTTTGTTGTATTACTAAACAACTTTTTCTTGATCAGTTTGAACATTCTGAGCACTACTACTGGTTATATGTGTAACGGTTCCTGTCTAGCCGGAAGGTACCAACAGTGTGTAGAGTGAATGAGATGAGGTTGAAAAGAGAAGAACAAGAGTAAAAGTGAGTCGATGACCCATCCAGCACATGCAATGCGCTTACTTTTATTAAAGAAAGCAATAAACGACAGTCATCAATATCACAAGCCTCAGATTAAGACAGTCTTGGAATAGAACTTAGAAACAGATAGTTCAACCCGCTTTAACATGTAATACTTGAATTTTGCACAAAAATTCATAATTTACTTTCTGATCGCTTCATCTTTATATTAAACTTCTGTTCAAAGTTTTATTGCGTTTTCAAAAGAGCTGCTGGTAGTAGAATTTGTAATGTCTTTTTATGTTTAGGGGTGCATGAATTGGTTGTACCTGTGTTGTAAAATTTGACTGAATCAGGACAAGTATCCGGTGCATTTTAAGTTAACCATAAACATGATGTCTATGGAATTACCATTCGATGATAACATGAAATTACTGATGTTTCTTTGACTAAGTTCCAGTAATTGATTAAACTTTGCAGAATAAAGAATTTGTGATTATAGTTGGGCTAAATTTTACGCGATGACAGTTTATGTATTTTTGGTTCTGGATTTTTATAAGCATAATGGTAACAGCTCTTAAGGATTTAGACTCGAATTTCAACAACCGATCTACCAATGAATTGCAACCAGTATAACGTTTGTTTAGTCTCCTTTGTGCTGATCGAATTCTGTTATGTTTTTTGTCCTGCTAATGTGTCACTTGACTAAATCGCCTATTAGATAACCTACTTATATGACCTTGGCCCTATGCCAAACCAATGACGTGTTAACAGCCTAGAGTCAACTCTGAGTTCTTACTGGTTCTTCTTGCCTTGCCCTGCCAGTTGAGTCCAGAACGCAATTTCAGCTTCCACTGTATGTATCACGTCGTTCAAGCATACACAGTTTAAATACAAACAAATCAGATCGAATCATACCATGAAATAGAAAATAACAGTTATACAAGATCAGGCCAAAAGTGGCCGTGAGTGTGAGAAACTGTAACTAATATATCAGGAATAAGTTAAGAATGGGGATTTGTATCGCAATAGCCTATATGTCAAATGAAAGAAATACGAATGTATATATAGTCTAGTTACTTAGTAATTCTACAATAAGAATATATGTAATAATAGTCCATAAATAATTCCTAGCAGTTACCATTCACTTTTTCTTCCTTGGGATGTAACAAATTCCATAGATCAATTTGGAATATGTAGCTATTAATCTGAGTGACCTGGTATCACCTGTCCCATGTTTTGATATTAGATGGTCGAAGATAGTCGTCGGAAAACGCCAGCTTCCCTCTCCCAGTTACTGCTGAAATGTTGTTGTCAATATATATTTGGCTGCGTGAAGCCGGAACAAAATCTTCCTAATTAAATTCAAAGTCTATTCGACTATTTTTAGCAGTATGTCTAGGAAGCTGATCGTTTAGAGACAATATATATATGTGTAATCGCTTTGAACAAGTTTATGTGAAGGGAGTTTATAGAAGTAGGCGAATACACAGTTTTCTTACCATTTAATTATATAAAAGACCAAATGACTAATCTCTGTATGAAAAATAG